CAAAAATTCTCCATAAGTATAAAAAAATAACATGAACTTGACAGACCCAATACGATGTGCAGTAGTTTCAGTGGAGGAATGCATGCCGATTGTGTTGTGATAGTGCTCTGAAGGGGAAGTGACTTAACACAGAGAGCAAAGGGAGGAGGGGATTTCAGATCATGTGAAACTTATAAAACATGTTAATATGTTGTTTTCAGTGAATATAGCATTTTCAAAAACTGGTTGTGCAGTTATATCGAGGAACTACATGGAAAAAATATTATACATTCATTTAGTTGTTTGTTTTTTTTTTGTAATGGTGAGAAATCATTTGTTTTGGGGCATGGGTCTTAAAAGCTCTCAATAAGTCATCTACCCATAAAATCTAAATGAAAGGTATAAAAATGCCACTGTCTAAATACTTATTTCACCCTCGTCTCTAGAGATTTGTTTTTGAAACCTCACATTGCCCTTAATGTGTCCGAGCAAAGGCCAGATGCAAATGTCTAACTGCACCTAAAGCTGTTTGAAGGATTTATTCCACAGCTAATGCTTCATTTACAGAGGCTTTTACATTAAGCTGCCCTGCTCTAACCTGCTCGCACTTTAACGTCTTCTGCCGTGTAAAGCACCAAATCAGCTGTCACCGTAGCAACACAGACAGCTCTCCATTACTCTACCGTTAAGGTTAGAAGCACTGCCACAAAATACTGAACCTTGACACTATGAAGTAGACCCCAATTAAACAGTGGCCGTTGACTAGTGAAACAAATTACTCAGATTATCTTTTATTGTGGCATTGTGTGTGAGTGCATAATTGGTTAAAAAAATAAAAATAAATGATGTCAAAGTTGATGTGTCGGAAACAAGAAAAGTGTGAATATAGAGTGAGTGATTTGAGTGAGTATATCTTGCTTACTTGGTGTTTTAAACTCTTGAGGGTTGTTCTTGGTTCTCTGAAGTTTATACCTCTGCAAACTTATTTTGAAATGCATGTGATTATTGTATTCATTTAGCTGGGTTTGTCATTGTGCTCTCAAAATTAAATATATTAAGTGCAATGTGGAATGAATCTTCATTGTAAAACATCAATGCTAAATCTAGCAACAATACTATTTGCAAATAAGTATTTTCCATCTCCAGCTCATCTGACATGGATACTGCCCCATTTTCTTAGCTTCTTATCTTTTATAATGGATATTTTGTCTTGAAATTTGATAACATTTGTTGTTCTCCTCAGTGGTCATGCCTGATTAGTAGAACAATTGTTATAGTGGGCTTTTTTTGTCAAGAGTTTAGAATAAATTGGACAAGTTTAATGGGATTGTCTGCCTTGTTTATGTTCCCAAGTCTTTTGTATAGTAGCCTATAGCCTCTTTTTTCACCAGCATCAGTAATAAGGCAGTGTTATTGTGTTGTTTTTATGTAATTATCCAACTCTCTGAGTGGCCTTTTGAATTGCACCATTGAGGATAAATTAAGTGTTTTATGAAAAAACAAAACAAATGGCATTTATTCATTTTCAGAAATTTTTGCTCTTTGTTATCAGAAATTGGGATTGAAAATTGAAATATAGGGGGAAAAGTCATAATTTTATACCATAGCACACAGAAGCAAGTTCACTTTACTTATATGTTCACATAGGCCTGTCACGATAATTGCTAGTATATTGACTTATCGTTCAATATATGATAGCTGGAGCAATATATCCTGGGGTTAAGTATTTATCGTCTGTGCATTTTCTTTGCAATAGTGTGGAGATTTTTTTCTATTTATATGTAATAATGTGTATAATAAAGATCTGAGTTGTGGAGAGTGAAATAAATTAGCCGGTTTCACTTCGTAGAAACAGTCTGACCTCACAGCTTTAGAATTCGTTCACTCGACAATAGGCAGACAACGTTTTTTTATTTAACCAGTCGATGCTATTTGGTCGTGACGTATGTAATGCGCCGCTAACAGGGCTAACTGGTATATTAAGCTTTTCCCAAATCCTGGAGGAAGAAGGGCAATAACTTCTTTCCCCTTGATAAAATTCACCAAAAATTCTCTTTGTTCCGGCTTTAAATCCTCAATTTCGGGAATCGTTGCCAACACAGAATGTATAGCTCTTCATTGACTGGTTGCTACCCAGACTCGCACTTCCGGGGTTTTTGCGAACCGTCCAGTGTATTTCAATTCCTGACCTAGTCTCTGGAGAGAAATGAAATTGAGCAGAGACACTAGGTGGCACCAGCCTGGCTAGGAATAAATAACATCTCTGTCTAATTATCTTTTTATTCTGCCATTTAATTTTTTGCAGCTCAGCCTGTATTTAAATTTGTTTACTGGAATTATCTTGGTTTGTGATACTGGCATAAAGTATTTTCAATATTATTGTTTAGCACAGTATTTCTCTGTAGCAGTATATCATGCTTCAAAATTATTTATCATGATAAGCCTATGTTCGCAGTTTTGATGTTGATCTTGTTTCTTATCAAAGATGGAGAGGGGAGAAACATGGTGGTGCAGAGGCGAGCATGACTCCACATGTTAATGATGAGCCCACGCCTCAGTGCGGGGTGCGCCTGTCTGCAGAGGGGCAGGGGTCACTACACACCCACATACTGGAGACTAGAGACAGCGGGGGGCAGGCCAGTTTCACTCCGGAGAAGATTACCATGGAAAGGAAAGTTTGACACTTTTATGTTTATGCTGTTTTTTTTGCTGCTGGCAAATAAATGCAGATTATCAAGGAGAGTTCTGGCAGGTCAAATGGGTATGTATAATAAGGTCAAATATTGTGAGAGTAACTTCCACGAAAACAAAAATAAATCTGATTTGAATTAATGCAAACTCTGAGGGCGACAGTAGCTCAGTTGGTAGAGTGTTCGTCTTCTCATCCAAAGGTTGGCAGTTCAAATCCCATTCCAGACATAAAAGTGATTGATTGAGCATTCAGATCCACAGACCCAGGTTGGAGGTATGATTCCAGCTGCAACAGATGAATGCTGCTGTTGTGTCCTTGCGCAAGACACTTAAATGATCTCGCCCTAGTGTCTGTGTTCATTGGTGTCTGTGTTAATGGGAGACTGTAAAGTGCTTTGAATGCCTTGAAAGTGGAAAAGTGCTGTATAAAAATTAGACTGTTTATGACCATTTACTCTGTAGGACTCAACAGTTTTGACAAGCATTGCCATTACAATTCTATCATTCATTCGATTCATTGATTTGTTTTTGTAGTAGGATTATGTTCAAATTTCACATTGCAGATGAGCATAAACATTTGCCAGAAGATTGAGTTTAGCACTTTCATTCATGAACTCCATGCTTTTCTGAACATGTTTGCAGAGGGTTTACTGCAGGGTTAGCAGGTTTTGAAGGGAAAAAGACAAAATCATTTGTCGTTTGCTAAAGAATATATGTTGAATACTTGCTATTCTTGCAATTTGCCAATTGCCACCACTTAAATTATAATTTCAATTTGGTTATGATATCTTGCAGCCCAAAAACTCAAACGCACAGATTCTAAGCTATGACAGACTCAGAAAATTTCATTATTCCAATAGAAAGAGTTCAGAAACTAACTTAAAATTACCTTTGCTTTTTGTTAGGGCTGCTCAATGTTTTGCACTCAAATTGAAATCACAATTTAAGATGATGCAGTTATCAAAAGACTGATTTATTTAGATAATAAAATGTTCTCTGCAAAGAACAAAATATCCTGTCTTTTTATGGAAAAATCTTGTTGTACCTGTAGTTTAGACATCCACAAACGTGTTCTGAAATTAATGTTATTCTGGTATCAGTTTCAGTTTATATTTCAGTCTTCTCTGAAATGTTAATGCACCTGGACATGTTTACAATGTGCACTCTGAACAGAATTCTGCTTTTTAAACATGCATTGCAAAACTAATGTGAATCACAATAAAATGTTTCCAAAACCTGTAACCTATTTGTAAACACACTTAATTGAAACAAATGCGTCCTACGAATGTCAGTATTTATGTTGCCATAAAATGATAATCATATGTCAAGAGAAAAAGCAAATGCATTTTGATCTGAATTACAGGTCTTAGATGTGAGATTGTGCAGTGTCCATGCCGTGGGGAGCTGAGGTGCTGCTGGTCTTGTTTCATTCACTCGACTGGAGATCAGAGTCAGACTCAGATTTGTGATGCACAAACAGTCCTCCCAGATGACACTGTTTGTGCTGCTTTCAAACCCAAATCCACTCTGTATATGTGTCCTGTTTTGGAGAAAGATGCAGTGTACAATACACTATTGTTTCTTATTGCTGTGACTAAGAATTGGTGCTTCTGTTAGCTCCTAGTTTGGCATTGAAAGTGGCATGCATTGTATGCTTTTTTCATGCACTTAGAGGTTCGGACTATGGTTTGTTCTATTCTTGACATAGTTCAATGAGGACGACAACAAACTTGACTTCAAACTACTGTATTTTCGTCATAGAGTTTGAAATAGAAAAAAAAAGCATCATCATTTGCTTTGTCTTGGTCAGCTACAATAATATTATATTGTGGAGCCCTGCTCCCTTAAGTCTTGTGTAGTTTTTGCTGTATTGTGTCAACCAATGTCAAATTAAAATTGTTATCAGTATTTATTTTTCAAAAGTGGCTTTTTCTTTGTGGTGTCCTCTGATGTTTAGAATTAGAATTTGGTTTAAAACCTAATGACTTCTTGTTATAATATTTCCTATTGGTGCATTTCCGATTCAAGAATGTGAAGTCACATTGGGCTAGAGCCAGTTTTCTCTATTAATTACATTGTATTTTGCCATGAAGTATCCAAAAGGTGTCAAAGTGTCAAACCTGATCATTTCTATTAGGGTATTTTTTGGCCTGTGTCAGAAATACAAACAAGACCTAACTCATGAAAATATATACTCCCACTCACTCTAATATTAACATAGGCATTTTCCCAGCACTCTTCGCTGTATCCTGTTTTCCCCGTTCTCTGTATATTTCCCAGTATTTTTTGTGTTGTTGCTGACGTGTGGTGCTTGTGTTGTTGTGTTGCAGAGGGAGATGAAGGAGCAGCTGGCCTCTCTTCAGGACAGTGAGAAGGGCCACACTGAAGCCCTGCAGCTCCTCCAGAGACAGCTCACAGAGACCAAGGTACAACAACACTTAACACATCTATGTATAAACACAAGTATATATTCCACAGGGAGAGGGAAGGAGAAAAGCATCAGCCTGGCCTGCTCGTCCTAATAGTGTTGTCCCAATACTGAAATTTCAGACTCCATTTTTGATACGCTGTACCAATTTTGCTTTTTACCACAATGATAATTTAATGAAACTCTTTTAGACAGTAGAATGTAATTTTTAACACAAATTAACAGTAGCTTTTTAATAGTAGCATAATAGTTAATATAGTAACATAGTTCTAGCAGAGATCCAGAGTCCTGCAAAATTAACAGGAAAAAGACAGTCAGATCTTTCTTGATTTTTATTTTTTTAATTTATACTTGTTGTAATGAGTATCTGTTGTTATAATACATGTTTTAATATTGATTTGAATCTAGATATTGATACTTTTGACAACCCTACATCAAAATGAGTTTATTATTATAGATATTATATGAAGGCAACAGCTGTGTCTGATCTAATCTTTTTCAGAGGCGGTCAAAATCTTTTTTTTTCACTCTTTTTAGATTTTATTGATCAGAATCAGAATACTTTATTAAACTAGAAGGTTTGCTGTAGCTCCAAAACACTCAAAGGACAATTATCAACATTAAAAGCAATAATAAAAGTGCTACTCTGACAGAAACAATAATTAATACCCTGTCCGCCGCATAATCTTAAAATAATGATTCATTAAACCAAGACTCTGCTAATCCCCCACAGAGACACAATGGTGCATAGACAAAGTGAACAGACATTGTTTTGTTCAGAGCAAATTGCATAGACATAATGACCTTATTTACCCAGATATTAAAAATTAACTGAATCTGGATTGGTGCATTAAAATGAGTGGAAAACAACATGATGCATTTAACTAAAAAGAGACAAAACATATTATTTTAAATTGTTTTATTTTACTAGCCCAGACTTTGCACCATATGGTCATCTTTGATATAAATCTGCTCAAAACATTCATACCGGCACTTATGTTTACACGGCATAAGTCAACCGCACTAACAAGAGACAACCACCCACCAACATGGCAAAGGTCGGAATAATTTATATAAAATGTTTAAAAATTCATGCAAAACAGTCTTAAAGATTAACTAGTTACAGGCACTGTATTTTGTATCAACAGGGCTTTGCTCTCTGTAGTTTATCACAGAACTGAAAATAATAAGATCTCTTATCACTCCTACTATATATGTTTTTATACTGTACTGTAAAAATACGGCTAATAAAATGTTATGTAAGAATTATAGAAGAATACAATCATTCTGTGCAACCCAATTAAACATAGGACAGTGTGTGATTAACTATAATACAACAATAATTATTTAAATTCCTGGTTGTTTAAAATGTTATGGAAATGTACTTAAATATACGCATCATGTGCTTAAGTTAAAAAGGTATTAAACATTTCTTCTTTAAAAAAATATTATAGTAACAACATTATAAGTAAGTAGCTTTTTTCTACACAGTCTGGAGGTATTGTGGCAACCGTCTTTGTTGGTGATTACAAAATGTACCATAAACATTATCATTGCTTTTTATCATAATTAGCATCCCTAGACCCAATATTAAATCTGCCATTAGAAGAAGCTAACTTTATTTTCAAGTCCAGCTTCATCTGTCCTAGCACAAACTGCACACTTTATTAAATGCGGTTTCAAGTCCTATACCAGCATTATATGAAGCCTGGTATTATGGCCTGACACAGGTGCCACTTTTGAGCAGCTCAGAGCGTATTCGTGATGTGTCCAGGACAGGCCTGACAAGTAACTGGTCATTATCTGTGACTGTGCACTCCTCTGTCCCTCCTGCTGAGAAAACCACTCCAAAATATATTATTAAAACCAGGAGATGACAAGATGGAGAAGTCTGCTTATGATAGATTTATTATAGACTCACGGACAGTGAAAATACTGAACTAGACTAACTTGGTGGCATGGTGGCTGAGTGGCTAGCATTAACACCTCACAACAAGAAGATTCTGGTTCCACTCCTGGGTCAACCTGGCTTTTCTATGTGGCGTATATGGGTGGGTTTTATTTCAGGCATCTCCAGCTAAGATAGTCCTGACCAAATCTAGCTCAAGATCATGGAGATGAGTTCATGGGGACAATAAAGTGTACTTTAACCTTTGGCCCTGACATTATTTATATAGAGGAGTACCTTGAAGAACCTGTTTATTGATGTTTTTAACAAAATGAAACTGTCAATGTAATGGAAAATGGCTGCTGTCACCTACATCTTTCTGATGAGCTCAGTGTAACAGTTAATTGATTGGTGGTAGAAGCAGGCATTTGAACATTGAGTTTACAATTGAAGCAAAAACATATATTGCCTGATACTTCAACATTGCCCACCCCTAATTAGTAATGAAGAATAAAATATCTGCTCATTAAAATGCTCTGGCCAGGACTCAAGCCAAAATGCAATAAAACACAGTTGGTTAAAGTGAAATGTATGTGCTATGCTTCACACTGTCTCCTATAACTGTCCTTGACTTGCGGTCAGATTCAGTCACTTAAATTGGTTTTATCGAGCTGCACTTAAAGCTGCCTAACACCTTGCCTCTACCCTTCACATTGTTAAGGCTATTGACAAAATGTTTCCAGGACTGACTTGCTTAAAGAGTGAGTTAGCAAGTAGCCTTCAGGCTTGCTTTCTCACACAAATATGGAGCCATCTTTATGTTTAAATATAGAGCCACACCAGTCCATCCTATAGCTGCTAAATGCCACTCCGAGCTGGCCCTGACTCTTGACTTGTGAATCGGCACATCTCATTAGGTATGCCATTTTCACTGAGTGCTCTTCCTGGAAAAGGGCCACGCCACGACAGCATTAATCTGAATGTATTCAAGGTTTTCACAGATAACTCTAAACCCAGTGAAACATCTACCAGTTCTCCTCTGTCCATTAGCTTGCCATGCCTAATCGTGGGTTTCAGTTTCCCGTAAAAGGCGCAATTTTAAGTGCTTTTGCTCTTTCAAAAGCTACATAATTTTCTTTTGAATTTCAATGGAAGAAGTCCTAATGTTTCATCACTGTGAAAGCCAGTTAGGAGTGATCTGTTACAGCAGAACCTGGTATTTTGTTATTGCAATAGACTAGAAACTTTTACATTTACATACAATAACTGTTAAACAATATTACCCCTGTTAGAGGTGGATAGTTCATTATCTGCAAGAGCTTATAAATATTGTTTGTTTTTGTTTTGCTTTTTTAAGAAAAAAAGCAATATAAAAAATCTCTTATAGCTCAATCAAGATTTTCTATTTTGTCTTAACCAAAATAAATAAAAATGTCTTTCAAATGTCAATATTAATTTCCTGAGCTTTTTTTTTTTTTTTAAGCACTGCTATGCACAACTAATGGTGTAGCTCTAATCTGTTTTGGACATCTCAACGCCTTGTTTTCCATGTGGCTGCCAATATTATCCATGTATTCATCCCATGCATGCATAAAGTGTTTTCCTTGTCTGAACCATCAGTTTTCTCCTGTCCTCTGCTTCTCATAAGACATTGTTTAGAGTACAGCGCAGAAGGTCCAGACAGGAGGATGCAAAAACAGCCCACCTCAGTGTCACCGCTCCTGTTTTCACACACAAATATTCCTCTAATGGGATCCCATGGACAGCACAAACAAAAACCAGGAATATGCAAGACCCCATGTGTATTTTTATTTGCAAATAGTGGCGTTGCCTGGAAATCTTTGAAAAGCTTCTACTTTTCAATTTTTAAGGGAATATTGTAGTTATTGTTTTGCTTTAAAACTAATTTAAATGTGCACTAAATTTTGAGCTGTTCAGCTTTGCCTGAAATCTTCCACAGTATGACATTTAACTTGTCAGTCTATAGCATCAGGCTTAGATAGGTCCGATCTGTTGAGGGGCAAGTTGCCTGCTCACAGTAAAGATGCATGCATTAGCAATAAAAATGCCTGATTGACATTTAACTTATCTTGCATATTCATATTGTGGAGCCTTTCAGATGAAGCAATAACATCTCCATGGACAATGGTAGTAGTAGTAGATGTCAGACCCTCTACCAGAAAAGTAATCGTGATTATTCAGATCACAATAGAGCAAAAATATTATAATCGTGACTATTTTAGAAGCAAAATTAAGTCTTCAACTCCAAAACTGCAAACCTAAGTATAGTGACATAATAAGCACTATATAACTTTACTTTTGCATTATGAAAGTTAGATTTTATAGCGCTGCCTATATACGAGAGGAGTGATAATGGATTTGAATGAAAGAAAATTAAGGATTTAACTTTAACACTAACACTAAAATTTAATATTGAGACATTCCTAAGTGCATCTTTAAGTTTCAAGCTAAGCTGTAGTTTTTTTTGCCATGATGATCTATTCACGCAGGAGTGTTCAAACTATGGCCCTCAGGCTTCCTGCTGAATTGACCCAAATGATTACTGGCAACACTTTTAACTGCAAATATAATCATTTCTACCACTACAACTACAATAACATCACATTGCATTATGATACTGGCATAAAATTAATGTTTCAAGTCTTATTAAAGGTATGATGGCTCTGTTCTAGCTATATGTAAATGCACCCATCTGAATCTCCTACTGTTTTGATCACCAATCTCTGACTCTGTTTCTATATGTGATCATCAGTGAAAATATTCAGTCTTACTCTAGCATGATGAAGATTCTAAACTTTCTTTTGAGATTGACAGAGCAGCCAAAGATTGTCTGAAGTAAAAGTGTAATGGTAGTTATCAAATGTGAGTCCAAATCAATCCAAAGTTAAAAGCTGTTTATTTTGCCTCGTCTATTGCCCAAAGTTTTAAGGATGGCTGGCACAACCACTCACAACAAATAATAACAGCCAGTAGAAAATGAGTGAAAGAAAAGAGTCTAGCTGTTTATAATCAAAAGAAAAGTTATTGCACATGTTGGTAATGTTTTCGAAATACAATCTCTAAAAGAAAAAGTTACGGCTTCTCCCTCTGGTGAGATTTTCATCATTACGCCTCACATCTTAAGGGTCCACTTCAAACCACACTTCGGATCAATCCTCTTTGGTGTAGTCATCCTGAATGTTTTCCCCTTTTTCTCTTTTATGAGCCTTTTGATGCTGCTTTTCACTTGAGGAATCATTTTTTAAGACTTTTTGGCAAGTTTTCAGTAACATTTCTAAAGTCCGATGGTTGCTTTCTGGAGACGTCTCAAATTGAAAGTCTCCCACTGTTTCTTCAACGGGCTTTTAACGGCACTGCCTTTGTTCTCTCTACATCCGACACTCAGCGCCTCAAACTCAAACTGATTTATTCTGTTTGAGGTCTTTCAGTTTTTGACCAAGCTACAAATCAGATTTCTTTGTCTATTTTCCTCCTTTTTGCTACCATTCTCTCCACTCTTAGATTAAATTGGACTGATGGGTGATTTTTTTTGTTGTTGTTGTTATCATCTTTATCAATGCTTTCATAGGGCTAAAATGTATTGCTATTTGAGGTTGAGTAATTTGTCAACAGGTTTATCACAATACAGCACAGTCTCAATTAGGCCTTCCACTGTAATTACTATATAAATTTATTGTTAAGAACGCTAGAACAGTATAAATTTTCTTTGCAAAAGTGGACTGATTTGGGGTATTTTTGTTGTAATACAATAAGATTTAATTATATCTCATGCCTTTTAATGATACTGTCTGTTTAAAAACGGGTTACTAGGATTATCTTGCATTATTGTTTTTGTATTAATGGCATAAAGTGGTTTGAGTATTATCGTTTATCGCAATACATCTCAATCACTCTCAATTTGATAATTCATCTATGCTTAGTATCTTTATACTGGCAATTAGGAGGTAATTGTTGCTTCTGAGAATTCACACTTCATTGTGATTGGTTATATCCACCTGTCACTCACTCTGAGACTGAAGGAGCTTGACCAATAGCAATAGTGGGTGGGAAAAACTGTCTTATGAAATTACAAATCAATTCACGGTACATATTTTAAACATGACCAGTAACATTAACATTTCTGTGACAATCACATACGAATATACATGGCTACATAAGAATCACACAAACATACTTTGCAGAGGTCTTAAATAAAGGTTGGTTTATTTTTCTTTTAACTTAAGGCTCTACAAAGACAAGATATTTTTTGTCTGTAAAGTAAAATAACAGTATAAATATATAGATTTATTTATTTAATTTTTATTAAAAAAATGTATAATTCACACCGTTGTTTTCAGTTTTGAGCAGTTGAGCAATTACCCACACCCACACTTTTACTGAAGTAGTCTTTCTCTCCTGAATATTTTCTCACACTTGTCCCTGGGTGCCACTTGAATCAATATGAGCACAAGTGAAATCGATGAGCTTTAATGTAATATGAGCTCTGAGTCGCTGACCTGTGTCTAATTAAATGGCTGTTCTGGTTCTTAACAACACAGTCAGTAGAGCAGTACATTTACACCGTTACCACAGAGGAGTACTAAAACTTGAATGAAGCTATTATGTATAGTACTGACTTCTGAATGTTACAAATTGACAAATAGCCCAAACAAATGGCCAATATACTTAAACTGCACAAGTATTTCAAACAATCATTCTAACTTTGAAATAACAGAAGCCTTCTTGTAAATATTTGTATAATATAAAGTATAGATCCAGATCCTCAACAAATATCAATACAGAAAAAAATGACATGAACAGGACAAAATCAGGCTTGTACTGAATGAGAAGGTTTAGAATTGTGTAGAACTGGTGTATAAAGATGACTGCATAAATAAAGTTTGACTATTATCTACAATTTACTGTATGAAACAAAATGTGTTGTTTATTATCATCGTTGTTTCTTATTATTGAAATCAAGTTTTATATGATTTTTTTTTTTTATGTACAACTTTTTATAGTTGTTCTAGATTTTATTCTGAAATTCATCATGGTATTTAAATTGAGTCCTTGGTTTTTTTTTCCAATGAAAACATAATGTCAGGTCAACTGTTCAGAGTCAAAGTTTGAATGTATCTGTCGCAGAAAAATAAAATCTCACTTTGATTGCATTCATATCTACTTTTTCAATAGTTTTATTTTTTCCAATTTCTTGTTTGTTACAATATCCTAATTCAATTTCATAGGATCAAAATGTCTTGCTTGGGAATCCTAACAGTCCACTTATATTTTTATATTTTCCAGTCTTCGGCCAAGAGCCTACGTGCCACCATTGGAGATGCGTTTGAGCGTTTGCACAGGTTCCTCCGTGAGCGTCAGAAGAGCATGCTGGAGGAGCTGGAGATGGACACCGCTCGCAAACTGGCCGACATCGAACACAAAATCCAACGCTACAGCCAGCAGCTCCGGGACGTCAAAGAGGGAATACAGATCCTACAGGAGAGACTCAACGAGACTGGGAGACATGAGTTTTTAGAGGGGGTCGCAGTCACTTCAGAGAGGTACAAAGTTACACTGTTTAACCTTTTGTTTTTTATTTTAAATAGTTTTCAGTGTACTCTAGTAGGGTAGCCATTAATGTACAAAGTTGGAAGGGGTTAGAGTTAGAGTGAATGTCCAGTCTTGCAACACAAAGGACAAGTGACAACTGTAAGATAATGGTCCTGCTAATCAGAGGGATTCACATCAGATTCTGTGATTTGCTTTTCATTTAAATAATTTTAAAGGTTCAGAAATCAGATTATAATCAGATTTTCGTTTGTGTGTGTGTGTGTGTGTGTGTGTGCGTGCACGTGCGTGCATATGTGTGTGTGCGTGCGGGTGCGTGCATATGTGTGTGTGCGTGCGCGTGCGTGCATATGTGTGTGTGCGTGCGCGTGCGTGCATATGTGTGTGTGCATGCGCGTGCGTGCATATGTGTGTGTGCGTGCGCGTGCGTGCGTGCGTGCATATGTGTGTGTGCGTGCGTGCGTGCATATGTGTGTGTGTGTGTGCATAGCAACTAACTCAATACTTAAACTTGTCTGAGCAAGCTCTTCATCCAAATACTCTCCTTCATTAACAAATATATTACTGCCAATAAGCCAAGCATATTTTTCAATCATTAGAAAACAGAACCTGTGTTTTTACTGAGACAAATTTGAGGAAAAATCACCCAAATGCATTGTTTATTACCAAAGTCTTACTTAAAGTTTTATAGTATTGCCGCTACAGGAGAGAGTTGTGCAAAGCAGATAACTGCAACTACTTGAAGGGCCCACGCTATTTCCTAATTTTATGTTGTTTATGTTGTATGTTTATTTTGTTTCCTCATCAAAAACAGTTCTGGAGTTGTGTTTTGTTTCATTCATGCATGTTTAATACACAGATCCTGCTTATTTAGGCTGGGTTCTTCTCAAACAGAAAATGTTCTTTTCCACCTTGTGAGGTCATGTGGTAAGGCACTTCCCCACTGTGCTTTTAAAATCCATACGCCTTCACTAGCATTATTTGGATTGGATTTGCTGATTTCTAATGAACAAAGGGTAAAAGGTAACTGTTAACTTGAAAACTATTGCTTCATCACAAGGTGGAACAGAGCATTTTGAGATTTGCAAATGCGGAGGAGCTTTTAACATAAAGTCAAATTGTTCTTTTAATTTAATTTGATACTCCATCAGTACCGTTATCAAAGATACAGTGGCAGAGACAGTCAACCTGTTTGCTACTGTTGTGTAATAGTCACCATTGGCTCATAACGTGACAGCCACACTCTAAATGTTGTAAAAGCTGATAATTCCATTGGAGAAAGCGCACGTTTTGTTAATCCCTGAGCAGATGGTCCGTTAGGCCTGAACCAAACCAGCTGTCTCTACTCTGAGCAGTTTAAAGCATGATTTAATTGAACAGTTAATATGTTGGAGTAATGAGGCAGCAAACCGCATTAGTCTCACAGATTAGGAACTCACAATATGTTTCAGTATTTAGCTCAGTGTATGGAGAGAGCAAGTGAAAATATGTGGCAGATGTGGTAATGGAAGACACATTCTAATAAGAGAGAGCGCTGTAATACTGGGTTTTGAAATTGTGTTAAAGCTATGTCAGCTAAATGATGAAGCCTGGATTGAATCAAGCTCATTATCATATTGTCATAATCAATATGGGTATAATTTATGATAATGAAGAAACTGAAATCTTTTTGTTATCCATTATGTAGAATTGAGCGATATCCAAGTATCAAGCTCTCTTATTAAGGAACAATGTGAATTTATCTGATTTAAATACAAGAAAACATCATTAACTGACCAACAAGCCTTGCATCTCTCCACTCCACTCACATGCACCTACAGTACACAGTACTTGCCCCTGCCCACTGATAACTCTTTCTTTTACTCTTTTACTTTTTTTTTTTAACCACTTTAAACTCTAAATCACTAGGAATTGTGTGAAATTTGACAGCAAATTAAGTTGGAGGTTTTATTGTGAAACAGAATGCACAACACATTGAAAAAAGAGAGTCTTTTCTCTGCATGCGTCATGGCCGCACAGACAGCCAAGCTGACACTGTACTTAAGTTTTAAAGCACAACTGGAGTATAATCGCACAAGGACACAAATATTAACGGGGCTGATTGGCTTCATATTTAAGACATCAAATTCACTATCTGATAATATCTACTGTAGCAGTGATTTTCATGTGCAACTAGTATACCTGACACAAATTCATACATTTAAGAGCTAAACCAAAGAGAGAATTGCATGTAGATTTGAATAGAACCTGAATTGGGACTTGAGGGGGAGAAGCATTTCTACCATTTTAACTCTCAGCCTGTAATGACAGCAAATACACACACACTGATTAAATCAAATACAGTGTGGGCCTGTGTGGCTGGGCTCTGACTGCATGATCACATTATAACAGAGAAATTGAGGTAATGTTTTGTTGGTAATGTTGTCAGTGACCCAGCGTTGACGGGCACACACGTGTCTCCAGGCATGGATATACAATGCACATGCACTGTCTGTATTTGGGCAGGTTGTGAAGTTGCTTCACTTATGTGTGTGTCCATGCAACTCTTCCTCTGTCCTTCACAGATGGTATGTTTTCAAAACCATGTCACGTCATTACATGATTTAACATTTGTATTAATGAATACCTTTCATTTGTTATTCATCTCTTTTCTTCATGATCTAAGATGTATCATATTCTTAGACTTTAGTGTTGCAGATGTGTCCATTATGATAAGCAGCTCTATATTTTTGTCTTCTTGTAGCTATACTCTGCAGAATATGAAAATGTTTCCACTGGATCATATTGTAACGGTGTCAGACAAGCCTCTAACCCTTTTGTCCTAATTCATTTATCACCACTGCTGGGAATTCATTTATCAATTTGTCAGTGTTTTAACATCAATATCTGCAGTTTTCAAAGAGCCACAGCAATATGTATTACTCAGAATCTAGACTAGAGGGGACATGAGACAGAAATTGTTTGTAAAAAGCAGCTAATTGGATTTTGACTTTGTATTGATCTGTTTTTCTGTTCCAGGATCAAGGGAAAGATACATGAGACCAATCTGACGTATGAGGACTTCCCGACATCCAAATACATGGGGCCCTTACAATACACTATATGGAAGTCTCTGTTTCAAGATGTATCACCAGGTATGTAAACTTGTATTCAGATTTAAAAGTAGAAAGATATGGATTACTGTGGTTGGATTATACCGAAAATTTGCTAATGAGTGTGGAGAAAGCCTTTTTTCATTTTCATCAAGTTAGAGTAGGAGTAACATCAATGGAAATTAGCTTTTTATGCTCTGAACATGTGTCATAGTGTGAACACATGGAGGGCTTCAATAGCCTAGCAAATCAAATTACAATCAAAAGCCAGTTTTGTATCCATAACAACAGTAAGACTTTCCATTAAATGAGGAAACATGAGTTTAAAAGCCATCAAGTAACACACAAGAAACTTAATATTGTTTTAATGATGTAGTTTATCCTAAATTAACTGTGTGAATGTGTTGTGTGAGTGCTTTGTGTTGATTGTAAGGCTGCACAGATGACTAGCATTTATTTGTAGGGCAGCTGTGGCTATAGAAGTAGTCTGTCACAAATAAAGAGTCATCTGTAATCTACAGCCTACAGAAATACAAAATCATGCTCAAAACCACTGATATTAGCACAGACAGATGTGTTTTTAGACTACAGTTAAATATTTGGCTTTGGGCTTATTCAAACTTATGTGTTTTCCATAGACTCCAGGGAGACTATGTGGACACAAATGGTTTGAATAATTTCATTATCTCACAAAATTGTGCAGTATAAATGTTACTTTATTTAGTCTCTGAGCTGTCATTTTTGCCCATTATAGTTACTTTTAAAAGTTTGTGATAATAATGTGTACTGTACAGAAGTGTGATTTTTGTGATACCACTGTACTAGAATAGTACAGATTGTTTTTAGACTATGGGGGAAAATTTTAAGCTCTCTATTAATTATACACTACAACTCCATGTAGTCCTATATATATAGACACCAGACTATGAGCGCTAAATGATTCTTATTATCACATCCGCCCTCAGCATGACCATGTTTTAAAACCCGTGTAGACTAATCCAGGCGCGCTTTAGGTCTGACACTTGGGAGGCATTATTCTGCTTCCACTGGCTGAGAAATGGCGTCAGGAGCCGCGGGGTAGAGTTGCCCTTCTGTGGTTTAGACCCAGGAGGCTGCTTTGGCTCTCTTCTCTCTCTTTCTCATCCCACGTTATTTAATATTTTTCACCGAAGAATTTTATGCCCCCTTCCGTTCAATCAATTCTTTAATATTAGCCTGCCCGCTGCTAGCTGCTGTCGGGAGCTGTGGCAGAGTTTTGGCCTCCCTTGACTGTCTGCCAAATGGAACAATTGCCTACGATCCGTCAGAGGCTGTTGCCAGAGACTTAACAAAGACATTCCACCCATCATCTTTCATCCTTCATCGTAGCACGGTCTCCTATGGGCTCCAAGCAATAACGACTTCAGACTCTCTCTCCATTTCCTACTCTTATGGCTTCTATTTTTTAATGTATTCAAAAAAGTTGCTTCTTAAGTTTTGGAGTATAGAGAAGAGAAGTAGGGCTGACTGATAAGGCAACAAAAAGATATGAATCGATGCTTTTTTCCTGTCATATTCTAAATGATTTTAGTTCTTTTCTTTTCTTTTTTTTCGTTTTAAATTTCAGTATTGATTTCATGAGTATAAACAAAACACTTTTTATCATTTAACTCAAAATGGCCAAATTTCGTGCTCCATAGTTTGAATTCTCCAAATTGCATGTTTTTTTTAAGGATTGGCTGTAGTCTTGTCAATTTATAAAGACTGAACAGAATCCTACTTTTTAAATATTAATAATACTTGTCAGAATTAAATAAATACGTGAATGCCACTTCAAACTTCAGATGGCAGATTTAGGAAATTTTCTGCTAGGTAATAATGTAGTATAAAGTTACGTTTATCCTTTTTAGTCATTTTCAGGGATCACCATAGCAACTCATCTGCCCTTGCATCTTCTAATACCATCTTTTATGAGCTAAGCGCTAACTGGCATCTCCTCTCCTCTGCCGAACCCTCTCCGCTCATAACTGCTGTATACGGCCGCCTGATTTGTCGTCCCGCACAAAGAGCCACTCAAGTTATGAAATTTTAATGAGGCCATTGTAACAAACACGGGAGATGTCATTGAGCGGAGGTGGTATTGTCCTGCCCACTGGCCCGCTGCCATCCTACCTCCTCTCGCTCTCGCCTGATAAAAATACACAGGACCCAGAGAGATGCCCTCTACTCAGTTTGTTTGCGGGAACATTGGAAAGTACAGCTTGTTATCGTGGCAGTGCATCCTCTGTGCTTTTGAATGACAGTGTAACAATTCTCAAAGATATTGTCTGTCTGAATGCAGGAGGATCTGGGAGGCACAAGGATGCTTACAACCATAAAATTTGGAGACGATCCAATCACAGTTGATGATTTGTAACTTGTGTTTTCGTACTTTTCCAATTTAAATGCATAAATTCCCTAACCTCAGAACTGCAAAGTTTAATGATTTGCATATTGATTGTGCATGTTGATTTCTGTTGTATCTTGCAAAAAGAAAAAACAGGCGCAGAGGCACGGAGATCGTTCTACAGTACCTTTAATGATGTTACAACATGGATTCAAAGCATCAGGATGACACACAGGCAAAAAACACCAGAGAATCTACAAGTGTCCAGTTATAAATGTTATCTTTAGCTGATAGTTTACTCAGGGAATCTTTCAGAGCTTTTGCAGTTTGTTTGAGTAACATTCATGATTCAAGGATTATGTGCAGAACATTTTGCACTGTAGCTGTAGCAAGGATTACGTATGAAATCAGTATAATGAGATTATTGTTCACATGCACCTTTTAAGTAATTAGCATATTTTACCAATTTTTTTTTTTTACTATTTATTATATGTGATAAATTAACCAAAAATAAGTTGCATAACAAAATAAAATACAAAACAAAAACGGCAAGGACTCAAAACTCAAAACAATTGTAGCACATAAACCAAAATTATGCCACCTCTCGGCCACAGCCTGCCCAGCAACCACTCAACCTTCCCAGCAGCCCCTCACAAGCAACAGTATTTTCACATTCATGTAATTTGGGGGCCAATCGTTATTTTGCAGTATAATAGGATCTGAGCTGTAGAGAGTTTAACTAATAATTTCTATGACTAGTTTATGGATACAGACTAACTACAGAAGTGAAGTCATGCAGCTATTTATTTATAGCTGGTACATTTTAGTGATTTAGAATAGTTTTTGGGAGATAATCCTGCATCAACAATATATCACACTTGAAAATGTGTTATCATGACTGGCCTAATGACTGTATATGACTATGCATCATTTTAGTTTATTTACATTTCAATACATTTTATAACACCAGTAAATTCCCTCTCTTTGCTTTCTGTAGTGCCAGCTGCGTTGACCCTTGACCCCATCACGGCTCACCAAAGACTTATCCTTTCGGATGACTGCACCATTGTGGCCTACGGGAACCTGCACCCCCAGCCTCTGCAGGACTCCCCCCGGCGCTTTGATGTGGAGGTGTCTGTCCTGGGAGCAGAGGGCTTTAACTCCGGCGTGCACTACTGGGAAGTCATGGTGTCCGAGAAGACCCAGTGGATGATAGGGGTGGCTAACGAAACGGTCAGCCGCAAAGGGAGCATTCAGATCCAGCCGAGCAGAGGCTTTTATTGTATCGTGATGCATGATGGGAACCAGTACAGCGCCTGCACAGAGCCATGGACACGCCTCAATGTTAAGTCCAAGCTGGAGAAAGTCGGGGTCTACCTGGACTATCCAAAAGGTCTACTCATCTTCTACAATGCCGACGATATGTCCTGGCTTTACACCTATCGAGAGAAATTCCCAGCTAAAGTCTTCCCGTACTTTAGCCCCGGCCAGAGCCACGCCAATGGGAAAAACGTTCAGCCTCTACGAATCAACACAGTTCGTCTTTAATCGGAACTGGTGAAATATGGAGGTAGTCCTGAGAGGTGAATTCACAGGACGAATCAAAAATGTGTAATTGGGTGTTAATTCTGTTGTGCGTCATGTTGCTATTCGATCCCGTGCTCTTATTTTGTTTGTGATTTGAATCCGATGAACTTACATGGCCTGGAATGGAAACTCAATCCATTTATCCTGGAACTGAAAACAAAAATACACTTTGAAAAGAGGTGGACAGGCCTTTCCCTCTGGAGTTATATGGTGCTGGTGTGGTCAGAATGATGGTAATGAAAAGTTAATACATTCAAACTTGTTTAGTAGATAGTAATCAGCACTACCAGCATCAGTTGGTGCTTACAAAGGTTCATTTCAAATTTCTTAAAATTAAAATAGAATATAATACAGAGTGTTATATGGCTCAAAAAATACCTGTAAATTATGCATTCTTGTTGTGAGGTCGACTCTCCACAGATCTGACCTGGCCTGGTGGCGCCACCTGCTTGATTCAGTGGAAATAAATATGGATATTGCATATTGTAGAACATTCCAGGCTAAGCAATCATACTTCCATGGGGACAAGCAGGTGGTGGACCCTCCTCCAAAAGAAGATACACATGAATAATTATATGAAGATAAATGCAATGGGAAACGTCTTCAGCACTCACCAAACAAAACCCATTCTGACTCTACTTGTATTATTTTTCTCCAGTAGGAACATAGACCGTATAAAGAAGTGGACTAAGGGAGCATGATGCCACCTATAGCGTTCAGCTCCCGTCAAATGAAGCTCCACGAGGCTGCGAACGAGGCTAGGAAGGTGACGGCTAGCAGGTTAGCTGTGTCCATATATACTGTATATACAGTCTATGAGTAGGAATGACTTTGTAGGCCTGTGAAGTGTTGAACTCTCGCTCTCGTATTCTGATCTTCCCAAATTTCTTATCTGAGTTGGATGAAGTCTCCGGCCCCTCTCCGTGCTGTACAATCGCCTTATCTCTGTTTGTGGAATGTGACAGCACTCAACTCCTTTTGGTTGACCCTCTAGCAAAAAAAAAACAAAAAAACTAAAACCCAGTCTGGATATTTCTGCACTTTTTACCCAGACCAAGATGTCAAGTCAGTTCCCTCCTTTAAAAAGCATACATCAGCTTTTTCCTGTCACCTATAGACATTTTAATATAAGGACTCTAGTATATTCTTATTACTGTCCACTGCCGGTTTCATTGGAGGTGAAGAATGTCTCGAAATGCTGCTATAGGAGGTGATGGGACCTGCATGTCTGTACATATGAGTGTGTAGAAGGAAGAGATTGATTTGTGTTGGGCTGTGGTTAGGTTTCTGCTGATTTAATCCGAAGTTTACATAATATTTTAGTTAAAGGTTTTATTGTGTTTAGCTAGTCGCATGAGATACAAATTTGAGCCCTTGCTACATGTATATAGGTTTTATTTTTAGATTTTCTTCCACTGTCTAAAGTTGTTCCAGAAATAAACCTATCTTTAAAAGAGCATTAGAATCACACAGATGGTCCACAATGTGCCGTTAAATTTATCAATCACATTGTGCAAATTTTCAGTGTAGACAGAAGCATTGGAGTTTGGAGTTTCTCTTCTTATAAGGCCATACTACAAACTACTCTGCCACTGCTTAAGTACTTTAGAAAATGATCCTTATACATGTAGCCTGGGCCTGTACGCCAGCTATTGCTGAAAATAAATAGTCCTAATGAATGTTTTTATGACCAACACTTTTACTTAGTTAAATCTAATTGATTTCTTGGGTAAATGGCAATAATTGACGGTGCACAATGTAACATTTGTGGTTGGGTGGTATGCCACTTGTTGGTCTTCATTATTGCTTTGCCTGGTATGGCATTAAAGTTGCCCGTCTTGCATTTATTTAATCATGTTGCTGAAAAAATATATATACATGTACTAACAAATACATGTATTCTTACTATGGGAATGGTTGTCACTCCACAGAACTGACACGTAACATCACCAGCTTGCTTGTCTGGACATAGATTAGTTTAATGCCATGCCATGAAACATTCCAGACACAACAACAGCATCTTCATGGAGGCAAGAAGTTGACTAACCCTTCTTCAAAAAGGTTACACAGTGCACCTTTAAGTGATACAGGGTTGGATATACTGCATGTTTGAGTGCTGTTTTTACTTTATATCTTTGACATTCCCGCAATATTTTATGTGAAACCACTAATCATTCCAGCTTAGTCATATAGTTTAATTTTGCCCCACGTGCCTCTTGTTTTTGGGTTTTTCATTGCACACGACTCTTCTAAGGTCTTTCCGAGTCCATCTTTAAAACGCTGTTGTCTTTGGGCCCAAATTGAGCCACGTGTTTGAACTTGTAACTAAATGTGATGGTTTAATTCTTGTGTCATAAATCTCCTCCCGGCCCTTAAGCACATTTTTACTGTTGCAAAAAGAGGGACCTCCAGAAGAAACATCAGGTGTAGACCTAGTTTTACAGTGGCTGTTTCTTTACATTCGTATGTAATTTGTCTTTGTTAAATATAGTAATTGGGACAGTGAATGCCCTTATTCCATGGGATACTAATTATGCGAAAAATCTATGTCAAACATTTTCAAATTACTGTTTAAGTTGCACATTTCCTACACAATGTTATTAAAGGAGCACTATGGAACTTTAGAGGTGAAGAAAATAAAGCAAGTGCACCTGTGATTTTACTCAATTTTAAGTTATCAAGACAACAATACTTTGAGAATACTTGGATTACTGAGCGCTTGTGGTGGGAGTTTGTATCTTTGTATCTTTGTATTTTGCAGTGGTACACGACAGTAATTCTAGTCCTGATCAAATTATTTAATTAATTTCTCCCAAATCAGTACTAATATTACTTTTTGAATAATTGTCTTGATCAAGCAATGCTGACAAAACATTTTTCCTTAATACATTGTTTTGTTTTGTTTTAAATGCTTTATGATGGAAGATATTGTAATGAAAATTTGACAAAGAGGTTTTGACAATCAATATATGATTTTTTGTTTTGTTTTTTAGTTTTTCTTAATTTGAATGTTTGCTTGTATAAGACTCACCTGGTTGGAGTTTTAATTGTAAGTATCAAAAAACAAGCTGGTGTGCTGCCCAAGGACTTGATGTTAAAGAGATTGTAGAGAGACAGATGTATGTGTGTTACTGTTAGCTGGTGATGGAAATAGTGCTTAAATAATATTACTATGACACTTTTAATGATTCTGATGATTGTGTAAGTGTGTGGACTTGCTCTAGTGCGCCTGCTGCTGGAGGCTTGTGGGAACTGTTTTAACTGTACAATAAACGACAAGTGATAAAAAGTTACATATCTATGGAATCTTTTTCTGGTGCTATAATGGAGTTGTTGTTGTTTATTTTGAGCATACAAAGAAAAAAACAAACCTTATCAAGACAAAACCAAACCAATAATTAGGATTCATAATATTTATATACATTCATTTATACATAATTATATCCATGTTCAAAAAGGAGTGGGTGGGAGTATAAACTTATTTATTCCAAGTCATTTTCTCCAGTGTTACATAACATATGAATAATCCACAGTATGGCATTAAACATATATGCCACTTATTCAGTTACGTATTTCTTTGCCTTCTTGCTAAAAAAAAAAATACATGAATAAAGTGCAGAGATCTTATCTGTAACTTGGCCTGCTTGTCTCAACGGAGAAGATGGATAAATTAAATGCTGTGGAACTTTCCATGCAAAACAAAAACATCTCCATGGAGACAAGCAGATGATGGAACTTCCTCCAGATAAGTTACATAGTGTATCTTTTACTTTAAATAAACTATTGATATTTTGCAGCTGATGTCATTAACATGCCCTGGGAGTGTGATAACTGAAGTCACTGCTCTGTCTGAAGATCTGTTACTCAGATTAGATTTTAATCTGAGTTTTATTTTCACACACATAATCTGAATATAAAGAACTGATTTAATTGAAACTACAACAGATGATCTGACTTGTGCTGTTGATGTGTACATTGTGTCACCATGGAAACTCCCAAACATTCCCCAGTTTACTGTCACAGTATATACAGTACAGTACCTACTATATCATCATTATGTACAGTAATTATCCATTAAATTCATTTTGTTTGGGGTTTTTTGCCTCACTGTCTTTTTTGCTACAACATTTGTTAATGGTTTGATGTACTATAAGTAACCTATATATATATTTGTGGTATGTCAAAAGATCACTCCAGTAGATCAATAAGTGCAGTAGCCCATTGATTTAGCCTATTATGTGGCCTTAAATATTAATAAAGTTATATTATGTACTCGGGGATACATGAGATATGACTGTGTATGAAATGTACACTGTATGTCTCAGATTGACGAGAGCTCAGTCGCTGCTTGTCGATACCTGTGTCTCACTTTCATACCAAACATTTTACTAAACATGTCTCATACTCAGAGCAGAAAGCTGGAGGTTGTGTGCTGAATATCGCCATGTACTGACAGTTATTTGAGTCTAAAAAGTGTGACTAGAATAATAGAATGATAATGGTTTAACTTATTTCTCAAACTTTGTTTTTACTTGAAAAGACTTTAAGTGACAATCCTGACCATTATCAGGCGCAACATCTGGTGAATCCAAATTGGGTCAAATGTGCTGTAAAATCTGTAGAAAAAGCACATGTGAATATAATAATCACACATAAGATAACACACAATCAATGATTATTCATAAAGATAAATCTTGGTTAAATGTTTTTAATATTGTATTGTTTTGTACTTGTTTTCATTAAAGACACAGTATGTCACTTTTTTAAGTACACTAAAATACACATATTTCTTCAAATGAATTGTGTTTCCAAAACCTAGCATCCTGTGAGACTTTTGACTTCACAAGCCTGACTTATTTGGCTGAGAGGAGAGTCTCTACCTGCTCCTTTCCATGGAAATGATGTTCCTTTGACTATAATTTTCCACAGTAATGCATCAAATATATGTATTTCCAAGGAAAAGGTTCCAAAGCATGGTTTCCATGGAATCACGTGGGTAATGTGCCACCCTCCAGAAAGTATGCAACTTTCTGGCGGTGGCACATTACTCACATGGCACCAATTACCAATTTTTATTTTCTATTTTTATACTCATTTGTTCAATTTGAATTCTGTGTGCTTGCTTTTTTCTGTGGTTTTTATTCTTGCACTGGGTCTTTGATATTATGATTAGATTTTAATTGCACTGTGAAGCACTTTGTAACATAGTTTAGAAAAGGGCTGTAATGAAGACTATTAATATAACTGCCCCAATTAACACTGCATTTGCTCCCCCATCCATTATTAAACCATTTTATTTTTCACTTTCTCACAGTTGAGTAAAGCAAAGTACTGTTGCATCATAGTTACAACAATCGCAGTTAGCTTTATCCGCTGTAGCTCCTGTCTGTACAAAGCATTCCCTATAGGGCACAGTGAGAGCTTTCCCCCTGCTCAGATTCAGGGCTCCCCTGTGTACTTAAACCCATGATAGACATCCTTATCCGAAAGCGAAGACATCTGTCCTGTAACGGTCCCAACTTACCCCAGAGGGAAGTGTCCATTTAAAAGCCTGTCTCTGAGAAGCCTGTATCTGATTGCAGTGTGCGGTGGCCCCCCGGAGGCAAGTCTCAGCAAGCTGTGTAAAGTTGTAGGCTAAGTGAGAGGAGAGTAGCAACTGTGTACATTCATTAAGCTTAATTTTCATACACTCATATTTCAGTTTTATAACTTAAAGGTGCAATATGTAGCTTTTTTTTTCTAGAGGAGGGTCCAACAACTGCTTGTCTCCATAAAAATGCCATTACTTTGCTTTGGAATGTTCAACAGTGTATAATTAAGTGTAGTGCAAAGAGACAAGAGGGGACGCAACTATAGACTAAACTACAGGTCAGATCTGTGCAGAGGTGACACCGCTCAAAGTGGGAATGCATGTTTTTTGAGAAATAAAATAGTGGGAGTAAATATAAAGCAGAATCTTCATCTTTTACAGAAAATTGTTGGATTAGGTTTCTGTTACCCTCTGCTATCATCTTCATTCTTATAAATAACCAGAGAAATCAGTATTACTCAAACAGAGACGGATGAGGTTAACGTTGGCGTAAGAAGATTATTTTAGAGAACCTTTGATTTTGAGCTATAGGCTTGGTCTGGACTACCAAAACTGGGGGATTTTTGCCTTTTTGCTTTTTGTTTTGGTTGATGGGGAAAACCAGAGTGCCAAGAGGGACAGACACAGAGAGAACATGCAGACAGCTGTACCCGGCCCAGGACTCAGACCAGGCATCTTCTTGTGGTTAGGCTTGGGTGCTATTTATAGGCTACTTTGCAGAGACATCACACTGGGGGTGTTCTACATGTACCTGTGTCTATGATGGAATGTTTTTGCTGTTACCATGGAGACACAATGCACACATTAGCAAACAGACATGATATTTTAATTTTAAAATTGTCAGAAAACTCCAGAAAAAATGCAAAATGGATTTAATCAACACATTTTCAGGAGCCTGTGATCAGTACGATGGTCCTGTTTAGATTTGTTTTTAATTTCCCACTTGTGACTGTACTGTTATTTGAGAAAGACTTGTTTAACAGCACAAATGAGTTTGCCTGTTGTAGTTCCAGCTAAACCAGTTCTTTCTGGTCAGCTTGTGTTAAAACAAAGCTCAGTTGAACTAACAGAGCTTCAGACAGAGCATTGTCTACAGTAAGCATCACACCCCCTGGGAATGTTGATGCCATCACCTGCAAAGTGTCAGTAAAGTGATGTATCAAAAAGGTTAATTTATCTCAGCTCTTTCACTACTGTCAGCTATAGAAAATGTAAGAGTAAAGTTGCTCGTGGACTGGCTGATATTTAATGCGCTGCGACAGGGGAAATCATCTCGTTCATAGCTCTTACACTGCGCCTGTATATTGTGAAGTGTGTGCTCTGAATAGTAACTGAGCTCCACTGAGGAAACCTAAAGTAACTCAGACATTTCCCCTTCATGTCGTCAGCCTCCCACTCAATCCTCAAACCTCTTCATTCATTAAAGCTGCAGCCACTCTCTTCTGCAACCCCCAGTCCACACGCAGAAACTATTTCAGCTTTTTAAAGGTGTGGAACTTTTCAAGTGGAGGGTTCGCCATGTGTGTTTTTTAATTGTGAAGAAGTAATTCCTAGAATGTTCCAGTGTGTCATTAAGCTTCTATCATCTCCAGGTGGTGCTACCAGGCCAAGTTACAGGTCAGATCTGTTGAGAAGCAGGCCCATGTTTTTCAAGGTATATTTACTAATAAAAATGCCTTGGGGTCCCCTTGAAGGAGCTGGAGGAAGCATCCGGGGTGAAGGAAGTCTGGGAGTCCCTGCTTAGACTACGGCCCCGGATAGTCAGAAGATAATGGATGGAAAACACTGGATAAGATGTGTATGTGGAATGTGTATGTCATAGTGTGGAACCTTTCTGGCAAAACAAAAGCATCTCCATGGGGACAAGACGAACCTCAAACTAGACAAAAGCTGTAGCCTAAAATAATACTATGCTGAAGGTGCTTTTGGGAATTAAAGGTTGTATAGAGGATTTTCCAAGGAACGAGAAATCCAGCGACTGTTTGTCCTTTTTCAAATGTTGCGCATGCGTGAAACCCCCCCTCCCCTACAGCTCCTACGTAGAAACGCCTCCTCCCGCCTCCTCTTTACGCCAGAAACAGGTTTGTTTACAGCCGGTGCGCTGCACATGACTTGTAAACAACTAACTACAGTGTTGGTTAGGTAAGACGGAGAAGTGAGGAGCGGGGGGAGCGGGTGTGCGGACATTTCGTTCGCGGACGAGAAGTGAGGAGCAGGGAGAAGAGCGGAGCAGGAGAGAGGAGAGGAGAGAGGAGAGGTGAGCGGTGCGCGGAGATTCCGGCCTGAGAAGTGAGGAGCAGGGAGAGAGCGGAGCAGGGAGCAGGGAGAGGAGAGAGGAGAGGGGAGCGGTGCGCGGAGATTCCGTGCCCGGAGAAGTGAGGAGCAGGGGTAAGAGCGGAACGGGCAGCGGGGACAGGAGTAGGAAAGGGGAGCAGAGAAGAGTGCGCGGAGATTCAGTGCGAATGAACTAGCTACAACACGCAGCAGCAAGCGGACTCTTTCTTTGCCTTGAAAATTACGTTTTCAGACATAGGATATCGCTTTCGTGTCCTGAAAAATGTTTGTCTAGCTCTTGGAAATAAAGTACGTTTTCATAATAAGCAGAAGTGACCTGTCCAGGAGTAATTTGTGGACCAGTGCGTCAGTCTTTAGACCCTGCCTCTGCTTCAGTTGCGCCATCGCTGGAATGAATCTTCAAGAATC